CGGGGTTCTGTTCACTAGCCTCGCATTTACCTGCTTGATCCACCCTTTAGTAACCACATGTCCCAGACCAGCTAGAAGAAGTGAGTGTGGCTTAAAAATGTAGAACACGCTGGCTACCTGTCTCTTTACCCCTCTTCCGCAGCCAATGGTAGAATTCTTCAGCAGCGACGTGATGATTCATCCCGTCACCAACAGACCTGCAGACAAACGCAGCTTTATCCCCTCGCTCACAGAGAAGGAGAAGGTAATGCACCTGACTCACTTGGCTTACCTGGCTGTTCTCAGCTGTCTGTAACTCACCTGTGTGACTTGCCTGTCTGCAGGTGTCCAAACTGGTCCATGCTATAAAAATGGGTTGGATCAAACCCAGGCGGGTAGAGGATGATGGCAGGGGGCGGTATTACGACTTGTGGGCCAGCGAAGACTCTTCCATTCTGGCCAGACATAGGATGCACCTGCCCGCCCCCAAAATCCCTTTACCTGGTCACCATGAGTCCTACAACCCACCGCCCGAGTATCTGTTTACTGACGAGGAGGTTTGTCAATGCGTTGCCTCACCTGGTTTCTGTTCAGAGGATAGATAGAACTGCATTCAAAGACACATTTTTCTTCCCCCCCGTCTGTCTGTCCTCACTTGCCTCACCTGTCTGCAGCGAGCACTGTGGGAGCAACAGGATCCAGCAGACAGAAAGTTGCCGTTTGTTCCAAGGAAGTACTCGAGCCTCCGTCAGGTTCCAGCATTTTCTCATTTCATCCACGAGAGGTTTGAGCGCTGCCTGGACCTTTATCTGTGCCCACGACAGAGGAAGATGAGGGTAACCTTTCTCAGTCTGTCCTACTACCTAAAGCTGGAGCTGCCCTGTTAGGCATGCGGTTTAAATAATTTCCTGTTTGTCTGCATGTAGGTGAATGTGAATCCAGAGGATCTGATTCCCCAACTTCCCAAACCAAAGGACCTTCAGCCATTTCCCACCACACGGTCGCTGGTACAGCACACACACCTGAACACATGCACACAAACAAAGTGGTGAACCCTTTCTCACATCTTTTATCTGTGTGTTCAGGTCTATCGAGGTCACAGCGGTCTGGTTCGCTCTATCAGTGTGTCTCCATCGGGACAGTGGCTTGCCTCAGGTAACCTCAGCTTGTCCCACTCACACATCAATAGAAACTGTTGACATCGTGACTGAGTGGTGTAAAGCTCACAGTGAGAGTCAAGTGTTTGATCCCAGGCAGGGTTGTTGACCGACCAGTCTACTCACCTGCACCACAGTGTGTGTAAAAGATGCAGGCAGCTTCATTGATTGAGTCTCAAGATGAGCATTCTGTTGTTACTGTTTTAAAACCAGACATGATGACAGTTCCACACGGAGACCTCAGCCTGATAATCTCAAATTGTGTCTGTGCACAAAGCAGCTTTATTCTGTGTGGTCTTATCCGTTTACACTTTCCTTGGTGTATTTATTGGAAAGGCGGAGTCCAGTCGTCTTTGAATTAGTATCAGGAAATAAGTATTTGATTCAGGAGTCTGTGTTTTGTAAAGACCGACTGTACTGCCACAGAATATCCATGATAATGCTTTCCAGTTTCCACGACTCTGTCTTTGAAATTCTTCCTAAAAACAACCTGCTTTGGATTTTTTTTTTTTTTTTAAACTCCATATTCATTTTTATCTTTTCTTTGAGTTTTCTGTGTTGTGGTCAGAGCACTTCCTGAAAACCCAGTTTGAAGGTGATGTTTAAATAAAACATGCATCCTTTGGATGAGTTCATTGAGTGTGGGCGGGATTGTAATCTCTCTCCTCCCTGTTCACAGGAAGTGATGATGGCTCTGTCAGATTCTGGGAGGTCTGTTCGTCTCGTTGTATGAAGACGGTCCAGGTGGGCGGAGCTGTGAAGAGCGTTGCCTGGAACCCAAATCCGTCTGTCTGTTTGCTGGCTGTTGCCCTGTGAGCACCTCTCTGTCTCTCTCTCTCTTTCTCCGTCTGCCTGTGACATTCAGTTTTATTTGTATAGCACAACATCACAACAGCATTTGCTTCATGGTGCTGTGCATTCTACAGTAAAGATCCTACAGCAGCAGTGGGGGCAACTCCAGGTCCTGCAGGTTTTAGATATTACCCTGGGTCAGCACACCTGAATCACATGATTAGTTCGTTCTCAAGCCTCTGGAGAATTTAGCCATTTGAATCAACTGTGTTGGATCAAGGACACATCTAAAACCTGCAGGACACTGGCCTTCGAGGCCTGGAGTTGCCCACCCCTGTCCTACAGTAATACAAAGAATATCCCATCAATCACATAACCCCTGGAGCGAGATGGGGATAAATATGTCATATGAGGAAGAGAGCATGTATTAATAATTTAATTCAGTGATTTCTAATGTTGTTTTTTTGTTGTTGTGGACATCCAACTTTATGAGCACGATTGCAACGTAACTAAGGAAGGATTCAGGGTCACCTGATCCAGACCTAACTATATGCTTTATCAAGAAGAAAACTTTTAAGCCTAATGTTAAAAGTAGAGTGTTTCTCTGTCCTAAATCCAAACAGAGGGAGATCTGAAAGCTTAAGGCTCTGCCTCCCATTATACTTTTAAATACTCTAGAAACAAGCAGGATTTTAAACTCTTCCCTCCTCTCCCACTGATGTGATCCTGTCCCTCTGTTTCTCTCTGGTTTCAGGGACTCTGTGGTCTTGATCCTGTCTCCCTCTCTGGCAGATAAACAGGTCATCTTGTCGTCAGAACGACTCCTCAGCGCCCAGCAGGAGGGGGAGGAGCCAGCAGAAGGAAATGGGTCTGTTGTCTGGAGCGAGGCTGAGGGGGAAGAGCTAAACCAGGGGCTCCGCCTCAAAATCCAACACCCCAAAGTGAGAAAACCACCTGATTGGTTGATTTATTCATTTGTTTTTAAACCCCCCCCCCCCACTCTGATCCACATCTGGCCTAATCGCTGTTGATCTCTGCAGGCTGTTCACCAGGTGGTGTGGCATGCTAAAGGAGACTACCTAGCATCAGTGATGCCAGATAACACAAGCCACCTGCAGGTGTATATCCACCAGCTGAGCCGGAGGCGGAGTCAGAACCCCTTCAGCAGGAACAAAGGCCTGGTCCAGTGCGTATCCTTCCACCCAATCAGGCCCTATTTCTTTGTGGCCACACAGCGCTCGATCCGCATCTACAACCTCGTCAAACAAGAAATGACTAAAAAACTCCAAACCAACTCCAAGTGGATCTCCAGCATGGCTGTCCATCCAGGAGGTAACCACACCCCAGTCCCCCACACACAAGTCTTAAAGGCTCCAATAAACCCGCCGCAATGGTCGTTTCGCTCACCGCAGTCGCTTCGTCCTAAAGTCATCTGTATTTATATGAGCAGTATTCTCTTCACAGCTGTCCCACCTGTCTGTTCGTGTGTCTGCAGGTGATCATGTGATCTGTGGGAGTTATGACTGCAAGCTGAGCTGGTTTGACCTCGATCTGTCAACTAAACCCTACAAGATGCTGCGGTACGTACCTGCCAGTCACTCTGATCATCTGAGTTTAACCCTTTTAGACATGAGCTGTCAACATTACCACTTTGTTAATTGTTACATTGGAAGCAATGTCTTGGTCAGCTACAGGTGACCTTGAGTGCTCCTGTCTTCGTTCAGACCTGATCTCCAGAATGGGGGGTCAGGGTTTCTTCAAATGGTGTCTGTACTTAGTAACTCTCAAGGTTACAAATATTGCAGGTTTATGCATTCCCCTACAGAAGGTGTTGTTGTTAGAGTGATTATCTAACACAGCTTGTACTCAATCATGACGCTGACATTGGTGTGTAATCATTGATTGTTGAATACTACATATTGATCAGATGTTGTTTTCTTTTGTTTGTTTGTTTTTAATCATTTATCATGTGGTATGGATCACCTTCTCTCTGCAGACACCATAAGAAAGCAGTGAGGGGTGTGGCCTATCACAGACTGTACCCGCTGTTTGCCTCGGCGTCTGATGATGGCTCAGTGATAGTCTGTCACGGGACTGTTTACAAGTAATATATATACACACACACACACACACTTTTATTTTTCCTCCTCTCAGTTACACTCTAACCCCTCATTGCTACCTCCACAGTGACCTTTTGCAGAATCCACTCATCGTCCCAGTGAAAGTCCTCAGAGGTCATGTGATGACTCATGATCTTGGTGTTCTGGATGTGACCTTTCACCCCACGCAACCCTGGGTCTTCTCCTCTGGCGCTGATGCTACTATCTGCCTCTTCACATAGCAACATGCTTAGCAACCACAGATGCCGTTTTTCTAATGTTTTTACTTTCAGACACAATGTCTTAACATGTGACACCATGAGTCCTTGCCTCACTGGTCTCCTTGCTGTGATGTCAGTTCCTTTTTGAATAAACTGAACTGTTTTTGTGTGTATGCTGTCAGTCTGGTGAAAGGAGCTGATATTGATCAGCAGTGTGACATCCCTTTCCTGTCTAGGGCCATTAAAGATGAATAAAAACATGCATAATTGGCTATTTGTGGGTGATCGATCAGGTTTAAGATGTTAAGTTCAGATATCATGACAGCCATATTTACAGAGTTAGCTGAGGAGCCTGGACCCCCTGTGAACTCCGCCCATCTCACCACAGTTATTCTAGTTTTAGATTTGCTCGTTAGCTTGTTTTGAATTCGTTTCTGGAGTGATGATCCAGATCTGTCTGGGTATTATTTATGTCAGTGAGAAATTTTTAACTCATGTAGTTTTTAGTTTAGTAATCAATTTGATACGAACAGATTTGTTCAGTTCAGTTTGATAAAGTATTTTATCAAAAATCTAATTAAAGCTTGAAAAATTTGCAGTGCAGATGTTTACAAAAATTAAAATTTCTAAGAGATTAAGCTGAGTGAATGGGGACTGTATACTGCTAAAGTAGTGATTCTCTGAAAATCTAAGCTAGCTAACAGGTTCAGAGGTCAGTTTGTTTCTCCCATAGTGCTTTGCTGTAAACGGTGTTCTCCTTTCATGAAGGATGCAGCGTCTCTAATGTAGGAAGTAACTAAGGAAGCACTGAAGCTAATTTCTTGTGGCGGCAGCGAAGTGAAATTAGCAGTTGGACCCCAGTCTGTTACTTTGTGGATGCTTTTAATTTGAAAGTCCCCTTTCCTTAGCGGATTTGGCGTCAGTCCGTTTCCCTTGGAGCTCTTTCAGTGTAACACCCGATCATGAATCGGAGACTCGTTCCGACGCGCGAGGACTGCGTGTACACGAGCTGCTACTGGTGAGTCCCGACATACCTGCAACAGGTGACGTGCAGGCTCTGTGTCAGAACATTACTTGGCTCCTGAGAATTGTAAACACACGTCTGGTCAAAGCAGCTGCAACTACAATGATTGGCTAGTTCAGATTTCCGTTTAATTTTTAGCGCAGTTTCTTTAAATTTGTCAGTGAGAGAATAAAAATCACAAGAACGTTGTAAGGAATAATAATCCTCCTTTAAACAGTGTTAATATCAGGTTATCAACAAACATACAACCGAACTGTATCGAGGCTTCGAAAAAATGTGAAACCCATGTCCACAGTGACATCTGCTGGTCAGTTTGAGTATCGCCCCATCTTGTTTAAAGGCCCTTTCATTTATTTTTTATTTTTTTTACAGGTCAGTGATCAAACCTTTATCAATATGATTGTTTCCTGCAGTAAATTGCTATGGTAACATACAAATCCACACATTCATTATCAATTTACATTAAGAATGAATACAACAATCATACTCACAACTTTCTTCTTATATGTGTATCTGTTGCTGTGTGTTAGTTGCAGAGCTATTGCCGCTCTTGCTTCAGTTTGTTTATATCAGCGCTCCTGATCTGATATGAAAGGCCCTTTCATATCGGACGTGGCGTGTGCTGCGCTCACTGCTAACTAGAGTGAAGGACCCAAAATATGAACATTTGCATCCTCGAAAGAGTGACCTTTGTCCTCTTAGATGCCGAGTCTTGTCCTGTGGAGGTGGCTCTTCTGTGTTGTGCCATGCGTTTATGAAGTGGCTGTTTGGTCTCTCCAATGTAGAGGTCTGGGCATTCCTCGCTACACTGTACAGCATACACTACATTGTTAAGTTTGTGTTTAGGAGTTTTGTCTTTGGGATGAACTAGTGTTTGTTTGAGTGTCTTGCTGGGTCTGAAGTAAACTGGGATGTCGTGCTTGGAGAAGACTCTCTGGAGTTTTTCTGATACACCGGCTACATAGGGGATGACAATGTTGTTGCATTTTTCTTTCTTATCCTCCCTCGCTGGTGCCGGATCTTCTTTTCTGTGCATCTTTGCAGACTTGATGAAAGCCCAATTAGAATAACCGCTTGTTTTAATAGCTTCATTAACATGTGTGTGTTCCTTCTTTTTCCCTTCAGGCTTAGAGCATTTTCTCCCCGATGGTGTAGGGTCCTGATTGTGTTTTGATTTTGATCCAGGTGTCGTCTATATATCTGTACCAGTGGCTGGGTACTCTTCCTTTGAAAGAGCCAAGAGCCTTTCTTTCCACTTCCTCCATGTAAAGGTTGGCTACAATGGGTGACACCGGGGAGGTCATGGCACAGCCATGTTTTTGCCTGTAGAAACCCTCGTTGTATTTAAAATATGTTGTGGTAAGGCAGAAGTCTAACAGTGTGCAAATCTGATCGGGGGTGAAGTTGGTCCTGTCTTCCAAGGAGCTGTCTTCTTGTAGTCGTTTTCTGACAGTCTCCACGGCCTCCGTGGTGGGTATGCAAGTGAAGAGAGAGACTACATCAAAGGACACCATGGTTTCATCTGGATCCAGGGTAAGTTTCTGGACCTTGTCGGTGGAGTTCTTGATGTGATATGGGGTGGTCCCCGCCAGAGGTGCTAAAATGGTAGCTAGGTGTTTTGAAATGTTGTAAGTAGCTGAGTTTATGCCGCTAACAATGGGTCTGAGTGGGACAGCTTCCTTTGTGGATCTTAGGAACTCCATAAATGCAGGGTATGGCATCCCCTGGGTTTAGGCGATGATATAAAGGGCGCTCAATGATTTTGTCCTTTTCAAGGTCTTGAAGGCAAGCTATAACTTTCTTTTTGTAGCTGCTTGTGGGGTCTCGCTTTAAGGCTTCGTAGGTATTGTTGTCACTGAGGAGAGTAGTGATCTTTGTGTGGTAATCTGTTGTGTTTAGGACCACGGTGCACCTTCCTTTGTCAGCTGGTAATATGGTGATGTTGTGGTCTTTGCTCGGGGAAGCGACGGCCTTCTTTTCTTGTATTGTGAGGTTAGACGGAGGGACTTTGGCACTGGAGAGGGTGGCTGAAACTTTCATCTTGATTTGCTCTGCTTCTGTCTGTGATAATTTATTAATCTGTACGGCGGTTTCTGTGGCTGTGATGAGGTCCACTGTGGGCAACTGTTGAGGAGAAATGGCAAAATGGAGTCCTTTGGCTAGCACTTTCTTTTCAGGTTCAGTGAGATTCCGGTCTGAAAAGTTCTTCATCCCTTTTTCCTGACTGTCCTCAGGTGTGTGTTTTTCTCTGTGTTGTGTAGGTTCTGACTGAGGAGTGAATGTTTTTGATAGCAATGTGTGGAATTGGAATTGGACTTAAAGACTTGGTGAAACATTTTCTATTAGCCATCAATAAAAACGATCAGATGGATCAGCAGGACACACTAATCCTTCAGAACTTTCAGGAAGCCCTACAGGCTGACTGTCTGTTGCCCTTCTGTCTGTTCTTGTTCTGCAGTGAAGAAAATGTCTGGAAACTCTGTGACTATGTCAGAAAACAGAGAACCGCACCGCTGGAACATCTGTTTGTGATCTTCATCTCCAATGAGACGAGAACGGTGAGAACCAAATGCCAGTATAATGTCAGATTTAAAATGAAGCTGATGGATTTTGTAATTGTATCATCAGATCTGCTGCTCTGTGTCAATTAATCACCGTCTGGTGGTGAGTTGGAGCAGGTGGTGGGGAAACATTTTATTACAGCGATTGGAACATGCTTGTAGGTATTAAACATAATGCGCAGCAGTGGTTTGAATCATATCTATGTAATAGATTCCAATTTGTTTATGTACATGGACAGTCCTCTCTACAGACGTCGCCAAGATTAATTATGGAGTTCCACGGGGTTATGTGATAGGAGCATTAAAAGGCATAGCACATATTTTCTCTGCTATGCAGATCACACCTAACTTTATCTACCCATGAAGCCAGATAAAACAGACCAATTAGTTAAACTGCAGGAATGTCTTAAAGACCTGGATGACCTCTAACTTTTCAGCTTCTGAATTTAGATAAAACGGAGCTCATTGTACTTGCCCTAATAATAGAAATATGGTATCTAACAATATGCTTACTCTGGTTGGCATTACCTTGGTCTCCAACACTGTGAGGAATCTTGGAGTCATTTTTGATCAGGATATATCCTTCAGCATGCATATTAAACCAATACGTAGGACTGCTGTCTTGCACTTCAAGAAGTGGCTAAACTAGCTGCTAAATGTCATGATCTAGAGTCCAGATTGACGCAACAGCATACGGGTACACGGAATTCCTGAGGGGTCTGGAAGAAATGACAGCATAGGATTCGTGACAAACTTTTTTTGCTCATTGCTGAAGATTGCCAAGAATGTAAACACACACAGTGAAAGGGCCCACTGAGCTATTATTGTTTGCTTCCTGGAGTACCAGGTTAAAAAGCACATAATATGGCAGGCATAGAAACAAAAAGTAACATATGAAAGGCTGGACCGTCTTAGGTTAATCACGACTATACCAAAGAAATACAGAAAAAGAGGAAACCGGTCTGAGAGGTTATGAAGAAACTATTATTGTATATACTTTACAATATAAAGTGCCTTCAGGCAAATGTTGTTGGGATTTGTCACTATATAAATGAAACTGAATGAAATGCGTCTCCTTCAAAGAGTTGCTGGGCTCTCTCTTAGAGATAGTTTGGTTATTCGTGAGGGACTCAGAATACAGCCAACTGCTCCTCCATGAGCCAGTTTGAGGTAGTGCGGGCATCCTGCAAGGATGCCTCCTGGATAACTGGAGGTGAATTAACAGTGAGTTATTCTGCGCATGAAATGCTAGGAGGAGGCAAATTACATTTCAGAGCTGGGTTAGAAACATCTCAGCGCCCCCCTGGATAAGCTAAAGGAGGTGGCTTGGGTGAGGGCTTCTCTGTTCAGACTGCTGCCCCGTGACCCGAATGCGGATAAGTGGCAGAAAATGGATTAAAGGATGGTTCTGTGAAACACCTGTCATGCTCTTTTAGACATCTGTCATTTAAGTTTTACATATATAGCACCAAATCGCAAAAACAAAAGGTGCCTCCAAACAAAAGGTGCTTTATATTCTTAGGTAAAGACCCTACAATAACACATGAACTTAAAAACTAAAAACATCCACTTGGTTTTTCAGGTTTTTTGAAACATCTCAGGTGAGGTTCTAAAGCTGATGTTCTGTATTTGTTCTCCTTTGAGGTTCCTCTGTGGAAGCAGAAGTCTGGACACGGAGACCTGCCGGTTATCTGGGTTTGTGATGTCACTGTTAATACTGTGAGAGCACAGACATAAACACAAATGATGTCAAAATGACATTAAAGATAACATCGTTGTTTCAGGACTACCATGTGATCCTGCTGCAGGCAGATCAATCGGACTCTCTAGTGTATGATCTGGATTCAACGCTCTCGTTTCCCTGCAGCCTGAAGCTTTACGCTGCCCAAGCCTTACGCTCAGAGAGTGACATCAGACCAGAATACCACAGGTAAGACACAGCTGAGCATCATGACAGGAAACTACACACACCTGAGTGACATCATAGTTACAATTTCCCCTTCTGTCTGCCAGGAAGTTTCGTGTGGTTCCTGCTGACAGCTTCCTGTTGAACTTCGCATCTGATCGATCTCACATGAGGAACTCTGATGGATCGTGGAAGATGCCTCCCCCTACGTATGCCCCTATATGCACTGCAGGTCACATGACTTCCCAGTTATTAGCGTGTGTAATCGCGTGTACCATGTAGTTATGATGTCATCATACTGGGCTGCGTTTTCCCCTCAGAGTGCCAGATGAACCTAGATGGTTTCATCAACATGGACCCTGCCATCGGCTGGGGTGTGGTCTTCAGCCTTAACCACTTCCTGCAGAGATACATTGGAAGCACCTCATCAGCCTCATCCTCTTCTTCATCAGCAGCAAGATCGTCGTAGTTGTGGTTTTGAGGGTTTTTTTCGAGTGTGGGCTCCAGATGTTTGAAGTGGAATGAAGAGTCCTCCTGCCAGCTGCTGTCCCACATGACCATGTGAAACGAAATTGGTTCTTGTAACTGTTCACCGTTGTCCCACCCCCTTATAAAATGCAAGATATTTTAATAGTTGTTCAGCCAAAAACCATCGATGTACATATGAACATATTGATCATTTGATGACTTATTGGTGAACTTGTTGATCAGAAGAGTGCTTTCACCCCGATCAATAAAACTCTCCATAATGTCTTTGAGCATCTTCAATTCACTGTTAGAATTTAAAAATAAGGAAACACTAGTAGGGTTCTGTTTGTTTGGGGTACAGTTGGTATGTTTGGTTTAACATGATTGTCAGTTTCCAGAAATAACATCAGAGGTTTTTGACATCTGCTGCGCCGTTGTCGGGTAGACTAGTGCAGGATTTAGGGACAGCGTTGATGTAGTTCATCACTTGGGCCGCTACAACGAAAATCAGAAGTCAAGGTTGGTTATCATTCGGTTTTCAACAAGATCGGCTTGCGACCAGATCTGGAGAAAAGCTAAAAACTACACCTTCCTGAAGAAAAATACCTACAAATTTTTTACTCTAGAATCCAAATAATAAAGATGAACGTTCTCCCAAGATTGCTTTACATGTTTCAATCACTCCCACTTTCTATACCTCAAAGTAAATTTAAAATATGGGATAAGATGATGTCAAGGTTTATATGGGATGGGAAGAAGCCCAGAACAAGGTTAACAACATTGCAACTCCCGAAGTGTAAGGGAGGGATGGCTTTGCCTAACCTAAGGGAATACTTTTACGCAGCCCAATTTAGACCAGATTATGAGGCACGGTGGAAGGAAATTGAGGGAAACAAAATTCAAATTTTTATCTCTGACAAACAATTAATGACCTCTTACAAAAGTAGAATGAATCAAATTGTGAAATTTACATTAGACATATGGCACACAGTAATAGAAAAACATCAGTTAAAAGAACAATTATTTTTGCTGAGATGGTTTAGACATGATAAAAAATTTAAGCCGGGACAATTGGACCAAACATTCAAACAGTGGGAGTTAAAAGGGATTACAGCAGTTTGTACTCTAATGAAAAATGGAACACTAATGAGTTTCCAACAACTAAAAAATAAATACAAATTGGAAAATAGAGATTTTTTTTTTGATATCTGCAAGTAAGGGACTATTGTGTAAAGCAAATAAAGACTGAATGGCTTGAAAAACCATTGGGTGTTATTGGACTAGTAAAAAATTGCTATGAACATAAACAATTCAAAGCAATTTCCACCTTCTATAGATCTTTAGAAGAAGATAGACAGGACACAACCTTTTACCTTAAAAAGAAATGGGAAGCTGAACTTGCCATAACTATAACAGAGAAGGAATGGGTTAGTATGTGTGAAATACAACACAGCACAACGAATTCGCCGTTGTGGAGGGAATTTTGCTGGAAAAATTTGACGCGTTTTTTCATTACATCCAAAATAAAAAGTAAACAGATCTCAAGTCCACAGAGATGTTGGAGACTGTGTGGAGAAACAGAAGCAGATCATTCACATGTATCCTGGAAGTGCATAAAAATTTAAAAGTATTGGGAAGACCTTAAAATGACCATAGATAATAATCTGGGTTATGCACTCCTAAACACCTGTCAAGTGATGTACCTTGGAAACATAAAGGAACAGATACAAAAGGAGGACTTATATCTGGTAAAAATAATTCTAGCCGGAACTAAAAAAGCAATCAGAAAGAAGTGGTTACACCCAGACCCTCCTGCTCAACAAGATTGGATTAGGATTGTAGAGGGTATCTCAGAGATGGAAAAAAATCACATTCAATATTAGACTGATGGGATGTAAAGATAGACAATGGAGGAAGTGGAAAGCATTCCGAAATGGCACCAAAACCACAACATAAAAAGAAATTTGATAGGTGGAAAAAGAAGTGTAAACTCCAGACTGCATATATGTTCGTTTGTTTGTAATTTTCTTTACTGTATCGTTTTCAATGTTAACTAAAACTAATAAAAATTAAAGTTGAAAAAAAAAAAGAAGAACAAATTTAATGAGAATGTTATACACTCTGAAGTATACCCCAGTAGGTCATTATGTGTTAGAATTTACCATCAGTGTTGATAATGTCTTTCTTCTTGCCAATCTATACAGTTTTAACTCTAAGTCAGAAAAATACTTTTTGTTGGACGCCCCAGAAACATGCTTTTTGTTCTGATTATCAAATACCCTAATCTTCTGTTATTAGTGTGAGGTGACTTTAATATAATAGATCCTTCCTTAGACAGATGCCCACCTTGCTCAAATAACTCTGCTATAAATACATTTATGCAAAAAATTCTTTTAATAGACATTTGGAGAGTTAAGAACCCTAAAGCCAAACTCTACATGGAATAATAAATCCAGCTCTTCTAAATCCTGTATTGATTTCTGGTTAGTCCCTGATTGCTTAGATAAGAATAACATAATAGTCAATATAATGCCAACTCCACTTACAGAACACAAAGCGGTATCACTTCAGGTTTCTTTAAGTCTTCATGCTGCCCAAGCGCGTAGGAGCTGCTACTAGAAACCTAATAATTCCCTTCTAAAACATGAGACAGGAATTGAAGATATTCTGTTATTGATTAAATGTTTCTGGGATAAATCCCTAGCCAGTCATGTTTACTGTCAAAACTGGGAGCTTTTCAAATTTGAAGCCGCTAAATATTTAAGTGAGTATGGCTTTTCAACAGCAAAACAAAGGAAAACTGAAGGAATTAATGTAGTTACAAGGATAACTGCTCCAGAACCTATCGGAAGATGATGAGATTGATTTTGTTTTGCAACAGAATAAATTAAATGACAACATTCTCATAATATAAAAGCAATAAAACTATACATTTATGCTCCTTGTTTGGTATCTTGTGATTAGCCTGTGTCTAATTGTTATTACACGAAACCCCCTGACATTGTCTTTTGCTCATTTATATCTGTAATGTTTGAATTGCTAATGAAGTTAAAAATAAATAAATAATAATAATCCGCCTTACTGCTCATCACATCACAGCGCGACAGAACGTTAGGGTTACGTATTGTGCTGACGCCATCAGACCGCGCTGGGCAGCTATCTGCGCAGTTGTGTTTTATCGGATTTGCGGAGTTGTCGCTGCTCTAAGTGAAATAAAGTTCAGCACGTCTGTTTGCAGCCCCGCGGGGAACTCTGAGTTCAGCAGCGGGACCAAACCGGCACGGTCCCAGTCAGATCAAGGACCCGAGTCGTAGTTCGTTGTTTTCTTTCTGACGCAGCTAGCAGTTAGCGTCGTTAGCTCAGGTGTGTGCTCGATTTTCGTCTCTCAGATGGAATATCCCGGAGGAGGGGGGGCGGTGCTGAGCAGCGGGAACGTCCCGGCCTTCCTGACCAAATTGTGGACCCTAGTGGAGGACCCGGACACCGACCCGCTCATCTGTTGGAGTCCGGTACGCACGTTAATAGCTAACAGCTAACAGCTAACGCAGACAAGTTTAACTTTAATTACACTGCAGAAACAGACACAACTTTATTTAAACTGGAATGCAGACAGGTTTGTTGACAAACTTTATTTACTGACTAAGGAAAAGAGGTCAGCTCAGTTAGCTTGGCTTCAGTGAGCTATTAAGGCTAACAGATCTCACGTCAGAGGTCAAATGATTTCAGACATCATCAGCTAGTCAGTAAATGATCAGTTGACGGTTGTTTTTCTGACAAACTGATCCCAGCAGCTGTTTTGGTGATTGGCATAAAGCCTGAATTCAAATAAGCTGATGTCACTGTAGTGTCATAGCCCACACATTGTACAGCTGCAGGTGTTAACTACCAGTTGCACTGAAATCAGCCACTTATCACCAAGAGGTCTCCATCTTTATTTTCCTGATTTTTAGGTGTTTTTTTTTTTTTTTTTTTTTTTTTTTTAATTGCATAACTATTAGGCTCCGCCCACAGCTGAAGGTCATGTAACACCAGATTAAAGATTCTCAAGTGTAATTTCCTAGTGTAGTTTAAAAAGGAAAATGAACCTTTAATCCATGGTTTTCATTACTGCCACACGCCCACCTAGATGGCAAAAACAATACTGCGGTCCTTTGCTCTCCAGCCTCACTGTGAACGTCTCCTAGTTTAACTAGAAACCAAAGTGCCAGATAGTTGCTGTGCTATCAGATGCAGTAATCAACATTTATTTACAACTGCCAGAGAGGAGTTTTGATTATGGCACCAACATGTAAGCACACCTCCTAACTCTTACTGGCTACATCTGCTTTTCACAACAACCCTGGCTGTGCAGTGCAGGAATGATTTAACTGGCATTAGAAAAATACTCGGTCAACTTTACTGTTATGACATGATATTATTGTGACAAATTAATACTACCTGAACTTTTCTGGAACTACACTGTAAATATCCAAGTCAACAAAATGTAAGATTTACATTTGGTAGTTTGTGTTTAACCCTTTCACACACAGTGCTCACTACAGTGGACACCTATTCAAAGGCTGTTTTCTTGTATTTGTGTCAGAGTTGATGGTATACTTGCACATAAACCACTACACTGGACACTGATGTGTCACCCCATACCCTGCCACCCATTCCAAATGTCCACCTAAGTGGACATGTAAAAAACTATTTGAAAAATACATGTTTAAGAAATGAAGTTACAAGAAATTTTTTTCATGCCTAAAGATCATTAAAAATACTTAAGAAAAAAAAAAATCCTGATTGGGGTTGTCATAATTAAGCTAGCTATGTAGAGCTTACTTTTGCTTTAACAACAAACATTTTCTTGTTCTTCACCTCCTTTAAATAAAGCTTCCGCGGCAGGATATGGATCACAAGTCCCCAAAATTAATGGGTTCTCTTTATGTCGTTGTTTTTCTTCCATGGATAGATGATCCAAATAAAGAGTTCATTTTCATCTGCAGTGTGTTCTGTTTAAATAAGAGTTCCAATCAGTAATCTATTCATCAGCGCCTGATGTGCAAAAAAAACAAAAAGCAAAAATGTTGAAATAATCAATAAACTGTGAGCTGGTCAGACACAGTCTGCAGGAGAGCAGACAGCTGAGATTAAAGTGTTAGCAGTGTGCTCTGATTTTCAGATCTATTCCTGGAGATTCCTGAGAGCGTAAGAGCGTATATAGTCTCTGTTTTAATCGGTTGATTATAAGGTAAATGGAGTGGTTCTTATACATTCCTTAATACTCAAGTACTCAAAGTGCTTTA